TTCCTTCCTTCCTTCCTTCCTTCCTTCCTTCCTTCCTTCCTTCCTTCTCCACACTGAGATGAGAAACTCAGCGGACAACCTTGAATGAATCTTTAAAAGCTAGAGACCAAGTGCCAAGAGGAGAAGCATAAACCAGAAAAATCAAACAAGGTGCAGAAATAAAAATGTAAAAGAGTACATACAGGAAAGCTCACCTGGTCTTTTAAAGCAACTTAACATTTAAAAAGAGTAGATAAACTTTTGAAGCTATTTTGCTTACTGAATTGGGCCGCCTGTATCCCAGGCCCCTTTTCAGCTCCAAAATATGGCAGCAGAATTCTTAGAGGGATTGAAAATGAAACAAGAAGCAAAGAAGCTATTTTATTTTTCCAAGTAGCCTCCTTCTGATTCGTCCCAAAGTGAGGGAGCGCAGCCCCTTACGTGTCTCTCTGACTGATGCCTTGAAGAACAGACTAAAAAAAACACCTCAGTCTGGAAGCTTCCCTCTCAAGCTAGTTGTGAACCACAAAGAGGTCACCGAACACCTTTCCCCATTCTTGCACCTCTGGCTCCTTCATTGTAGGTCTAAGCCTCTACAGGTAGCACTCACCTGCAGAGCCGTCTTAACGTTATTATGGGCCCCAGGCAAAGCAGTGCATTGGGGCCCCTACGACAACTACTCACAGGAAAAAAAATGTAAATAGTTGATAAAATTAAACATATATTTGCATGTTAGTATTAATTTAAAAATGCAGTAAAATATAATAAATACGTTGCTGTGTTTATATGATACAAGGTATATAGTTGAATGGTTAACATAGATTAGTATGGGGCCCCTGTGCTCGTGGGGCCCACAGGCAAGTGCCCATCAGGCCCCTGTGTTAAGACTCACCTGTCTCTTTCTGTCCTCCACCTCCTTTCTCCAGCCAGAATCCAGACTGGAAGCTCGTGAAGACACAAAGTTGGTTGGTATTTTAATTTGATTTGCTATTGAACTCTGCAAAGATCTGCACTTGTATTCTTTTTATCACATTCTTATTACGCTCTATTGCCATAAAGCTTATCATATTACTAGCAGTATCATAAGTGAGAGAACAGATGCCAGATGCCTCACCAATCATACTGCGGTCTTTTTTTCTGAATAGTGTTCATAATCCAGAAGAGAAGGCATCCATTTCAGAACTGAAGCAACGGAAATCACCATAAATTTTGACAAGAGCTAGCAAGGGAAGGTCGTCTGGGTTGAACTACATTTCCTTGTTGTCCCTTCCAGCTCTACAATTCTGCAATTTTATGATCTGAAGTCTTTCAGGGAGCCAACATTTTAGTGATCGCAGCTGATAAGAAAGCTAATACGTATTTTAAAATAAGACCAGATACTTAAATTACCCCCACCAGAAAACATTTCCACCCAGATATTTCTAACCAAACCTGTTCCCTGTTGGTTGGACATTACTTCCTCCAGACTGTCTCATTGGCTTCTAAACGCACTGAGGGCACCGAAGAACTAAGAAGGTTGCTATAACCAGAAACTTCCAGGAGGAGAAACTCAGAAGCACCTCCTACCCCCACTCCAAACTACAAGATTGATGGTGAATATGGAAGCTACTTCACAAAATCTCAAAATGGCTCAAAACGTCTGTGCCACAACAATCACCATGCACAGGTCTAAGACCAAAACTCTAATGTATATGTAATGGCTGAAGCTGCCATGGATAAACAAGACCAAGAACAGAGTGCCAGTGTTCACTTAGGGACATTCACAGGAAGGGAGGTGTCAAAAATAAATTAAGATGTTACCAGTGGCAGCCCAATTAATACCCAGCCCTTACATGTCCCATGGGAGGAGCTTCAGTCAAATGACCAAGATTGATGCCGTTACTATTTTTACCGCCCCTGGTAGACACCCCTGTGCTTCTCCCCCATATTTCAGGTCAAGAAATCCATCTCTACCAAAGCACACCAGAAGTAGATGTAAGGGTTATATTTTCACTGTATTGTACTTGGATTATTAGACTTTTCAGTAGGTGAATATTCATTCATTCATTCATTCATTCATTCATTCATTCATTCATTCATTCTTAGGGCTTCTTGTCTTCTTCCTTCAAGGCTGGTCTTTGAGTCTTTGACTGCTGCCTTCTGGTTGAGTTCCAAAAACTTCTATGCCCCTGTGTAAAGTCCTGATCTGAATAGGGAGGAAAGAGCTGGACTCCTATTGTTTTTACTAGCACTAGTGCAACCAACGCACTGTTGTGCAGCCAACTCACAGCTGTCCAATAAGGAGAGAAGTAATTTGTGTTGGGATATGGGATATGTATTCAGTGACCAAGATCATAGATGGCTCAATGATAAGATCATAGGAAGTAATCAATCTTCTTCCTCCTATGAAGCCTTCCCTCTTTCTGTGAATCAAGCCGGTGATTTCCTTCAGCCATTCATACCAGGAAACAGCAATAATGACAAAGTCACTGAATGCCTGAAGATTGTCTGTCTTTCATTGCCCCCTAGTAAATGGTCAGAGAGGGAACTGCGGGGCATAAAGGATTGAAGGACACAGCTTTGGTATCTCCATATCTCATTGCATTGACTGTAGTTCTGATTGACTGTTGTTCACCAGTGTGGTAGACAGCTGCTAGTTCTGAGATCTTGTCTCTGGTCTCTGGTTCTTGATGTTCAGGATATAGAATAGTAGAGTTGGAGGGGACCCATTCTAGTCCAAGCCCCTTAAGAAGCAGGGGATCCTATACCTTTCCGGATAAATGTCCAATTTCTTCTGAGAAACCTACAGTGATGGAGCACCAACAATTTCCAGAGGTAAGCTGTTCCACTGATTAATTGTTTTCATTGACTTAATTTTAGGTTGGATCTCTCTTTGATAAGTTTCCATCTGTAACTTCTTGTCCTGCCCTCAGGTGCTTTTGAGAATAGGTTGACCTCCTCTTCTCTATCACAGCCTCTCAGATGTTGGAAGACTGCTATCATGTTACCCCTAGTTATATTTTTCATTAGACTGGACATATCTTGTTCACTCAATCATTTATTGTAAGGTTTGGCCTCCAGTCTCCTAACTGTCTTTGTTGATCTTCTCTGCACTTCTCCTAGAATCTCAGCATCCTTTTTCTATTGTGATGCCCAGAATGCGGTGTTCCAAGTCTCACCAATGCAGTATAAACAGGGGTGGGATTCAAATTTTTAACAGCCGGTTCTGTGGGTGTGGCTTAGGTGGTAGGTGTGGCTTGGTGGTCATGTGACTGGGTGGACATGGCTTGGTGGTCATGTTATTGGCTGGGTGTGGCCAACTCAATATCACTCACATTGAGTCACGCATCTCCTCCCCTGGCCTCTCATGACTGTGGGGATGTTACAACAGTCATAAGTGTGAAAAATGGTCATAAGTAACTTTTTTCAGTGCCATTGTAACTTTGAATGGTCACTCCACACAAGCAAAGTACCAACAAAGGAGGGGGAAAAAACTCCAGAGACGTTCCAGAGACAGGAAGTCTAGTCCTTCCAAGGACGTAATAAGGGTTAACGGAGAGGCAGTTTCTGTAAGCAACACCAGAATGTTTCCTTCCCGCCTTCCTTACAGGATTAGGCCAGTAATTTCTTCTAACAACCGGTTCTCCGAACTGCTTAGAATGTTAACAACCAGTTCTAGCAAATAGGTGCGAACCAGTAGAATCCCACCCCTGAGTATAAAGCAGTACTAACACTTCACATGATTTTAATGTCCTCCCTCTGCCGGTAGCTGAGGAGAGCATTGGCTTTTTTGGTAGCTGCAGCAAACTGCTGGTTCATACTTAAGTGGTTATCCACTAGGATACCTAGGTCCCTCTCACAGTTACAGATGTTGAGCCAAGTGGTAGGTGATAGATGTCGACCACTAAAGGCAGGACAAGGACTGTGCAGCTTGGAGAGAGCCCAGATTCCTCACGACACAGCTTCCTTTGAAAATAGTTACAATAGATCAAGTTGTAGCTTAGCAGGACAGCCATGTCTATACCATGTGCTAAAAACATGGTGGCAAACCTATGGCACATGTGCCACAGGTGGCACACAGTGCTGTCTCTGTAGGCAAGCAAGCCATTGCCCTAGTTCAGCTCCATTGTGCATGTGCGTGCACATCCCATCATCCAGCTGGTCATTGGGTCTCTGCTACATATGCGTGTGTGTGTGTGTGTGTGTGTGTGTGTGTGTGTGTGTGTGTGTGTGTGTTGGATGTATGTGGGGGGGCCGGGTGCATGGGGGGCACAAGCGCAGGGCGGCATGCGCATTTCATTTTGTGGGTTTGTGTGCATGCTCATTTGTGCACACGTGCTGTCAGCTTTTTATCAAAATATGTCAAGGTCAACGGACAGAGGCCTCATCACCACCTGGAGATGCCCACATGATGATATACACAACTTTTAATTGTATGAACCAACTGAACTATTGGGGGTGGGAACGTTGCCATCACTTTGTATATGTGATTTACACACTCATTTTCTCAGATTCAGAATTCTTTTGTTGCTACCACTTGATTTCCAGTAAAATATATTTTTTCTCTAGTTAATGGAGTCTAAGTATTTCTTTCTTGGATTTTGAATGGAGCACCAGCTGACACATGCATTGTGGACACTCCGTCCAGAAAAGGGTAGTCATCGCTATGCTAAGACAATCGCTAGAGTCCTTCAACACGCTGAACCAAGTCTTCCAACAAGTCTTCCAAGCCTTTTGTAGCTTAGACTCAGGTTGTTGTGTGAATGCAGCCACTGGATGGCAGCATCATTCCTTATTAAGCATAGGGAAAGATTTTTTTTTTTTTTTAAAAAAAGGTTGACATATGAAATATTTGTAACTCCTTATTCCATAGCTTGGCTGCTTATATTGTTATTCTCCCTTCCGTGTCTATTGCATGGCCAAAGTTTGAGGGGCCAAAGGCCATCTTCTTTAGCCATGTTTAGCAGCTGAGCACAATGAACACGACAGTGATGCCTAGTCAACGGGGAAGTGGTCATAGATACAGTATAGGGACTAAAGCCATGCGTGCTGGGGAATTCTGGGAATTGAAGTTCACCCATCTTCAAGGTGCCGCGGTTAAGAAACAATCGCCTAGAATAGATGCTAGGTTCTGCTTGATGTTTGATGAGCTTAGGGCTACCTGATCTGGCCTATAAAAGTCTAGATAATAACTATATGACAGCCAATACGGATGAAAGATTGATGAAAGATTGAGTAGCTCCACAATCTGCTGTTCTCCCAATATTTACATATTTATATATTAATTTTACAGGTATTTGTTACCATTGTAGGCTTTTACTAACAGTACTATTTGTAATTGTCTTGTAAATATTTTATTTTTAGGTTCCTGGTACGTCACTCAGAGTCACTTGTCTCTGAGATGGGCAGGCATATAAATGGAATGAATAAATAAAATTAAAAAGCAGAAATTTGTGTATCTCTTTATTGCTTTTGGTGGTAGCTTGGATTTTTTTTCAGTACAGACAAGACAGTCCAAGAGGAGACAGGTGCTCTTTTCTATTCTCTGTTAAGGCCGGCCAGTCCTAAATAAAAAAGGGAAATTCAACACATATCTTATGTGACATGGATTATAGGAAATCAGTTTTCTTGAAAACAGGAACGCCAACAGAGAGGTCAAAAAACATTGTCTGGGGAATTCTGGGAATTGAAGTTCACCTATTGTCAAATTCCCAAGATTGAGAAACACTGCCCAAGATTTGTCTCTTTCGTCTGCCCATCTATTCTGCACTGACTGCAAAATACTGCAAGCTTATTTTGAAAGGGAATTGGGGATAAACTTTGCAGATCTTATTATGGCCACCGGAAGGCAGCCTAAACTACATGTTCTCCAGAAATCTTCTATTCAACCTTTAGCTACCTGCACAGATGGTCCACCTAAATGTCATTGAACTGCAGCTCCCGTCAGCATCAACCAATATGGTCACTACTGAGAGATGCTAGGCGTAAGCACTCACCCACATATGTCAATCCGCAGTGGTGGGTCTGTGTACAGTCTGGATCAAAAAAGCAGATGGTAGCTGTCATAAACCTAATGCCCTCCAGATATGTTGGACTATAATTTCAGAATTAGCAGCCCATGTAATTATGGCTAAGCGGTAATGAATATTACGTTCTGGCATTCCTGGAAATTAATCAGTTGAGTGGTACAAGATGGGGAGAAGTTTACTCACAGCTTAAGACACTTTTTGGATCCGAAGATACCAGTAGATGCCCAGCTGAGAAATGCATCCATCAATCATTTCTAAATCTTGCTTCTTGCAAGGTCAATCTTAGAATCTCAGCTGTGATGGAATGTAGTCCGGATTCCCAGGAAGGGGAAGGGAGGAAGAACAAGAGATAGCAAAGTTTAGATAGTTTGATTGGGAGGAAGAGAGTCAAGATAGCTTCTCTCTAAAAATTCTCGGCGTATGGTCTTTAATGGTACAAGGAGATGCTTTACTTTGGCAATATTTCTGTCTATAGGTGAGGAACACTAAGAGATGCTGGTTAGAAGTATCTCTTCATGTCTTTCTTGGTTTGGGGGTGGGACCTACAATTGCTCCATCAGGCCTAAGGAGACATACATGCCAAAGCTTTGAGCTATTCTGACCTGGGGCACAAGGGGCAAGGGAGATCCAAGCACACAGTTGTGGTGATCCTTCCAGCAATTCCAGGATGCCAGCATTGATTGCATGTGATAAAAACACATAATAACACATAATATTGGTTGCATCACCTTCTCCTATAAACAAGAATCCCTCCACCTGCAGTTCTACGGTGTATAATGGCATGCTATCTCAGAGAAGATCCCAAAAGCTGACAGTATGGAAAGAGTATTCAACGAAATGGAAACAATTTTAGAAATTTATCCCTTCATATTTTTTTTGACAGGCTGGAGAAAAGTTAGACATCAAGTGGATGGGGGAGAACATGACGTACATTTTTGGCCAATAACTGACCACTGGTTGGCCAGCAGTTCTCAATTTTGGCCACAAAAAGGACAGGCAAAACTTGGGTCTGGATTTCAAACCTGTTTAAAACAAGTCTCGTCTTCGCAGTATTCCTATATCCAGGAAGATCTGGAATGGTCGTTGATTTTCAAGACCCTGTAGGATTTTGAAGACCCAATAGGAAGAGGAATAGAACAGAATAACAGTGTTGGAAGGGACCTTGGAGGTCTTCTAGTCCAACCCCTTGCACGAGCAGGAGACCCTATACCATTCCAGACAAGTGACTGCCTGGTCTCTTCTTAAAGGTCTCCAGTGATGGAGCACCCACAACTTCTGAAGGCAACTTCTGTTCCACTGGTTGATTGCTCTCACCGATAGGAAATGTCTTCTTAGTTCTAGGTTGGTTCTAGATTAGTTCCCATTTGTTGCTTCTTGTCCTGCTTTCAGGTCAGTGGTGGGATTCAATTTTTTTTGTTACTTCCGGTTCTGTGGGCGTGGCTTGGTGGGCGTGGCAGGGGAAGGACACTGTAAGATCTCCAGTCAGAGGCGATATTTGGCGGTTCTCTGAACTACTCAAAATTTCCGCTCCCGGTTCTCCAGAACTGGCTGGGACCTGCTGAATCCCACCTCTGTTTCAGATGCTTTTAGGAGTAGGTTGACCTATTCTTTTGCGGGGCAGCCCCACTGCTATCATGTCATCCCTAGTTCTTCCTTTCACTAGATTAGACAAACCCAATTCCAGTAACTGTTCTTCAACCTCCAGCCCGCTAATCATCTTTGTTGCATCCCATTATCATATTTTTGTGCCACATGCTTTCTCTCCATTGTTAAATTAATCCATTTTCTGGGTTGACATGGAATTCTAAATCACTAATTAATCAAACTGTTAAAGACTTTTGTTAATTAAATGTGGATGCGGGGGTGGAAGTGGAGGAAGCATCTATCACGACTGCAGAAGTCACAGCATTGGGCGAGGTAGTTAAATTCCTACAGAAAGAGAATTAGAAAACAATCTTATTAAGTTACAGAAGTGGGATGAGAAGAATGAACGGAACTGAAAGAGAGACACGTGCCAAGCCTATCACTTAGGAGACCGAGAACAAATGCAGAGAAGGATTGGAGCAAGACTGACCAGGCGGCGGGGCTTGTGAAACAGATTGAAGAAAGCATGAGGAACATGGTTTATGGATTCTTTCCACCCCTTCTATAATAGCTTTGCTATGGATAACAGGATAGGAAGAAACTGGCAGGAGGGCTTAAGCGGAAGCAGGCAGCAGCTTGTCTGTCTCCCCAAGTCTTGGTTACATCTCCAAATGCTGTCCTTGACATTGGCACCTACCCAAGGCCATGCCTGGAAAGCACTTTAGACCCCTGCAGGGGTAGGATTCGGATTTTTTAACAACTGGTTCTGTGGGTGTGGCTTAGGTGGTGGGTGTGGCTTGGTGGTCATGTGACTGGGTGGACGTGGCTTGGTGGTCATGTTATTGGCTGGGCGTGGCCAACTCAATATTACTCACATCGAGGCATGCAACTCCTCGCCTGGGCTCTCATGACTGTGTGGATGTTACAACAGTTATAAGTGTGAAAAATGGTCATAAGTCACTTTTTTCAGTGCCATTGTAACTTTGAATGGTCACTCCACACAAGCAAAGGACCAGCAAATGAGGGGGAAAAAACTCCAGAGCAGTTCCTGAGATAGGAAGTCTAGTCCTGCCAAGAATGTAGTAAGGGTTAACAGGCAGTTTCTGTAAGCAACACCAGAATGTTTCCTTCCTGCCTTCCTTACAGGATTAGGCCAGTAATTTCTTCTAACAACCAGTTCTCCGAACTGCTTAGAATGTTAACAACCAGTTCTAGCGAATAGGTGTGAACTGGTAGAATCCCACCCCTGGACCCCTGGCAAGCAGGGGTGGGCTTAAAATTTTTTACCAAGGGGTTCTCTGCCTGGTTGCTCGGTGGGCGTGGCCATGGTGGGTGTGGCCTAGTTGGCATCCTGCACCATGGCGGGCAGGGGCACTTTGCTCTCCCTGGGCTCCGGGCGCTTTCCTCAAGCCTCTGGGAAGGCAAAAACGGCCTTACGGCCTCTAGAGGCTCTCTGGAGGCTGGAAACAGGCCCATTTCCGGCCTTTCCAAACTTCCAGGCAGTCTATTTCCACCCCCTGAGCTTCCACGCATGCCCTGAGCTTACCTGCATCCAAAACTGGCCACTTGGGGACTCCTGGGAGGGGAGGGGAGGGATGGACAGGAGTGGGATTTGGGGTTCTCTGTACTGGGGAGAATCTTAGCTAGGGGCTGTGCCGAACCCCCAGCAGCCCACCCCTGCAGTGGCAAGTCCTTTGGGGTCCCATCCCACCTTCCTCTCAGCTGGGTGATTAGGAATCAACCAGGTCCACTTGCCAAAAAAAAGGAGAAGGAATACAGATTTCCATCCATAGAGGGCCTGCCTAGAAGATAAAGCAGTCCAGGGTCTAAACTGCATCACCGCTTCTCCTGGCACCTTTGGAATTTGCTCCCTCCACAAGCTCTTTTGACATTGTTTGGGTCAGACTCTGGGCCACGTGCTTTTCTCCTGTGGGTGTTAAGCTCAGTCAAAAATAAACACATTTGTGCAGAGCCACAACCCCTTGGCTGAAGGTAAAGGAAAAAAGGGGATGGCGAGAGATTCAAGAGTGCAACACAACCTTTGGATTGCCAGGTAGCAACGTTTTGGAGAGATAAGGGATGACAACACCACAACAGAGCGCCTGACAGCCAAGAGAACAAGAAGGGTTTTTGTGGACCAGAGTTCAGCTACTGGCTGTCAGCTTGCCAAGAATCAGGCTATTTTGAGCTGCTCTTTGGAAAGCAGGCTAGGCTTGTACTGTACCAGCTGAGCAGACAGGCATAGGCGGCTTCTGTCTACCAATTTATGGATATGTTGAGGTCTCTAACCTTCCGCATTTGCTGGAAGCATTCCGCTGAGGCAGGACACTGGGAACTAAAAGGGGAAAGTGACAGAACCTGAGGTCAAACTGGAGGGCAGGATCCTCACTTCTTAAACCAGGCCTCAGTTCAAGAGACTGGATGGAGGGGAGAAGGGAAAGAGGAAGAAAGAGGAGGAGGAAGAGGCGCTTTCTTTCCCAGATCTGAAACATCTAGGGATGTTCACACGGATGGTAAGAAAGCCAAGTTGGCATCGGTGACTGCATAATTGAAGCCCCTGTGAAATGCACACATAAGTTCATGTTTTTTTTAAAAAAGCAAGGTTTTGATTGTGCAGTTAGACAACCATCCTGAGTTTTTTTGACCCTTCCCTATTCAGTCCTGCAAACATCCGTTCCATGTTCGCAATGCGGTTCTGCATGGCTGGTTGAAGGCTGCTGGTTCCAGTCTTGACAACTGCGGTCCTTCCAGCCTTGAGAAAGTCCACGAAATGGTTATATTATAAGGGATGCATAGAAGCTGCGCTTCCTCAGCTTTTCCTAGGAAAGACTATGAGGTGGGCAGTGGGCCAGTGAACTGGATGGTGTGTGGCAATACCAGAAAAGGAGGACAATGCAGGAGAAAGCCAGAAGCCATGTGGCTGTCTTCTCCTGCCTTAGCAAATCATCTTGAGCAACCCTGAGACACAGGACAGAAACATTTGCCGCGTGCAAAAAGAGGCTTTTGCAAGATAATTAAAACAAAAGAACTGAAAACCATTTGCTAAACGATCTGTTTCCTATAAAATGTCCAAGTGTGGGCTTTTCTTCCTTTGCTCTCATAATATTTCTTGGATCCTTGGACTATAATAAATGTTCATTCGTTTGCCATTAAAACAACCTTTCCCCAAATCTGAGGTCCTGAATATCGTCAATGGGGTACCTATTACCAAAAAGGACAATCAATTTCATAGAACAATCCTGCAGCCCAGGGGTCTCCAACCTTGGTAACTTTAAGACTTGTGGACTTCAACTCCCAGAATTCCACAGCCATCTATCTTTAAGACTTCTGGAGTTGAAGTCGAGATTGGATCCCCCTGCATCCAGACTGAAGTTGGGAATTTTGTGACCTCTTATAAATTGCCAGGTATATTTATAATTCTGAAGGAAACCCGGTGTGTGAAACCTGGCAGAACCCCTTGGACTTGCACAGTAAAGCTTGGCATGTACTTTTGAAGTTTGTCCTGATTGTATCATGCCTCTCTGTTCAGTGCAAGCCTCACATAGGGGCTGTCAGTCAATATCACCTATGTACGTGGCCATCGGTTTTTTGTTGATAGCCCATCCCAGAGTTTAGATTAGCAAACATTCGCTGTTTATCTCTCTGCTTCTGCAAGGGGCATGGTAGCTGTGACCTAGATAGACTTCTTGCCCTGATCACCGAGAACTCACCTTTCCTCCCAGCTACCGTTTCAAAAGACTCAGCAGCTTTCATTGGCTGCTGGGAAGTCAGGACACAATCCTAGATTACCATTGGCTTGCTTTAATGGGTAGAGACTTCCCCACCTCCCCTTACAGCTTGGCTGGACAAGAGTTCAGAGAGAATGAGAAGATTCTGCTGATTGAGCACTGAGTGTCGGTAAGCCTCCTCACCAAATTCAGGATAATAATGAGGGAAACTGAGGGTCACCTCGGTTGGTTTCTGAAAATTACTCATGTGATCAATGAGATCAGTACAAAGGATGCGTCTTCTCCAAGGCATTCAGCAAACATCTTCAGTTCACCCTTTCTCCACTCGACTGATGTTCTCAACAAACCTGTGCTGGGTTTAGCCTTGGAAAGAAGCAACTGACCATCTCAACAGGTGATCTGGTAAAGCTTGTAACTGAGCAAGAATTCAAGATGAGACTTTCCATTCCTGTCTGGCAACCTTCTGACTCTTCCACGTAGGCCAAAACATCTTTCTCTCTTGAATCTGGAACCTTCTCCAAGCATAACCAACAAATACTGGATTGATATGTCTATGGAGATTCTCAACCATCTCAAAGGTCCTGGTTGTCCCAAAGGTGCTTTTCGAAAGGCAACTGGACTTTCTTACTTTTTTCTAAGAAAAAAACGTTTCACTACTCTTCCAAGAAGCTTCTTCTCATCTTCATTGAACTGAAGAAGCTTCTTGAATGAGAATAGATTGACATGTATTCCCCTAGGCCCCGTTCCATTCATTCACTGAACTCCATTGTTATCGCCAAATATCTATGTTCTATGCATTTCTTTGCTTGAGCATGTTTTTCTAAAAAAAAATGTTTGTTTTGACTACAAAGTTTTTTCCTCTGCCTAAAAATTTTGGTTTGGTGTGAATTTTTTTTTTTTTAAGGGCAATTTTCTGTTATGTTGGTACAGGAAAAATAGCAAAAGTACGAAGTTAAGCCATAACAGATTCAGGGCTTTAAAAAAAAAAAGGAAGCATTCTAGTCCTTAAATTCAGGAAAAAGAGAAAACCTTGGCCCCACCCACATTTGTGAGATAGCCCTTCCCACTTTGTATCAGGGGTCTCCAACCTTGGCAACTTTTAAGCCTGGAGGACTTCGACTCCCAGAATTCCCCAGCCAGCAAAGCTTAAAGTTGCCAAGGTTGGAGACCCCTGCTATATATCATTGCTCTCTTCTGTTCCCCATTCCCAATGCTACATGCGGCCTTCTGTATTAAAAATTGACATGGAGCCATAATATCTGGCCCTCTCATCTGGAGCTTCGGCGCTTGGCAAGATGTTTAGGCAGCCAGCCAGCCAGCCAAAAGCTTTGCATTTTAGCTGGGGTGGGGGGAGAGAAACCTTCCTGGCAGCTAGAAAATTGCACCCATTGACTCAGATAATGGAGGGATGTCGACGGCAGAGCAGGACAAGTTATGGCAAACCCCGCCCTGAGGTGATGTCACTGAGCAAGATCATCCTTTACATGGCGGTGAGACGGTGGTATCAGCGCCCATTCTCAGATGCCAAGAAGGCACATGTTGCTGCTTGCCAGCAAAAAAACCACACACACAAAACAAAACCCAGGCCGGCCAGCCCCCATGGCTCGAGGTCTGCTGGTAATTGCTAATCGCCTGTTTTTTGCTGACAAAGAACAGTCAAAGCACCTCTCTTTTTATCACCCCTCTGCTTTGATGGTTTTCCTTTTTTAATCCGGAAATCAAGTTATGGCAATTGACTTTCCTAGCTCTAGGGAGGCTGTAGTAGGGTGGGCCTCCCTTTCGCTGAGTAATGAGGGAAAGACCACCAAGTTTTGAATTAGCCCGTATTGGAAAGACCTTCTGCTCATCCGTGGTGGGATTCCATTTTTTTTTTACTCCCAGTCCTGTGGGCGTGGCTTGGGGGGGGCGTGGCAGGAGGATACCGTAAAATCTCCATTCCCTCCAAACCAGGGGTGGGATGCAAAAATCCCAGCGATTGGTTCTCTGCATGATTGATGGGTGGGCATGGCCATGGTGGGTGTGGCCTACCAGAACTTCCAGGGGCCCCTTCTTCACCTTCCCAAGGGTCTGGAGGCTTCCCCCGGGCCTCTGGGAGGGCGAAAACGGCCTCCTGCAGGCTCTAGAGGCCCACCAGAACCCAGAAACAGGCCCATTTCCCCCTCCCAGAACCTCCACGTAGACCCTGTGTAGAGATTCGTGAGAGGGGAGGGGCAGAGTGGGTGGGGTCAGCCGGTGGGTTGAAATATCGGTTCGGGAACCAGATGAAAACTTAACATCCGGTTCGTCTGAACCGGTCCGAACCAGTAGAATTCCACCCCTGTTCCCCATCCCATTAACCTGCTTTCCAGCTCTGTTCTCCTGTGCAGGGCAACCAAAGAAGACCCAGCCAATCAGCCGGGACTCAGTGGGAAGCAGAGAATAGATGGGGCTGGGGCCAGTCAGAGGTGGGATTTGCCGGTTCTCAGAACTACTCAAAGTTTCCACTACCGGTTCTCCAGAACTGACCAGAACCTGCTGAATACCACCTCCGCTGCTGATGTTTCTCTGAATAGAGGTCCTTGGTGCTCTCTGAGCTTAGTTGCTTTCTTGTAGATGTTTCGTCAAACTAGGTAATATTATAAGTGCTACTTGAAGAGTTTCTCTGAATGGTGAGAGAAATGTGGCTGGACATAAATGATTTTTTTGGTTGTAGTTATGGAAATCCCTTCCAATGAGATACCAAGCTGGCTCATTTCTCTTTTAGATATCAGACAAAACTTATTTCCATTCTACTGAGCCTCCAGATGTTTCTTTGGTAACTGGCAACATCTAGAGCAGTGTTTTTTCACCTTTGGCAACTTTAAGATGTGTGGACTTCAACTCCCAGAATTCTCCCGCTAACCATGGTGGCTTTGGCCATGGAAATTGACCTTGCTAATTGACTCCCCGGAATGAGTTTTGAAAGCTTTCCAGCTTTACTCCTGTAGGCAAACTCCACTCTGGGTTGCCTGCTTGCAAAGATGTGCATTGGCCATGGTCAAAAGAATCAAGATGGCTGTCTGAGGAGTTTTGGGAGTTGAAGTCCACACATCTTAAAAGTTGCCAAATGGGGCCTCCAAACTTGGCAACTGTATGATTTGTAAACTTCAACTCCCAGAATTCCCCAGCCAGCATGGGAGTTGAGAGTTGAAGTCCACACATGACTGACTGGGGAATTCTGGGAGTTGAAGTCCCCAAGTGTTAAAGTTGCCAAGTTTGGAGATGCCTGATTTAGATGACGGCAGATTGCCCACTTCATAAAGTGTTGGTCCTGTCTCCACTCACAGAGATGATTGCTTCCAGCCTCCTTTCACCCAGAAGAAGTCAGTTTTTCCTTGGCACATGAAAAGGAAAGATGGAATCATTCCCAGCTGCCTTTCCAGGTAGGGGAAGATGTGGCAGGTAGGGTTTGAGGAAGGGGGCTGACCAAATTCAGCAAAATCTGCAGATTAGACTGCCGAGACTTGAATAGCGTGCTATATTAGGACCTCATGCCTACCCCTCTTTGAGCTTCATCAAAAGAAACCTGCTAATTGTAGCTTCTTTATTGTAGATTTCCACGATGAATCTCATATTGAGCCTGTGCCAGTTCTTTTCGTTTTATTCTAAATGGCCCCGGGACTGGCTTAGATGCATATTTTAAATAAATATATAGACAAAAGAAGCAGTTAAGATGTAGGGTTTGAGGAATGAGAGAGAGGGAAAGAGAGAAATTATATACGTCCAGGGATTTTGTGCTGGTTAAAACGGAAAATAAACCATTCATCAGGTCTGCAATGCATCATCTTTTGTGAAATGGTAACATCGGAAGATGACACATCGGCTTTCGAATCAACACATCATGTTTTATTGAGTGATGTGAGCTCCAGCATTTATCTTTTGTTACTTTTAGGGGCGGAAAATGATTCCAATGGTATTTTTATTGTACAATTCCTCTAGCGTGGCCTATTTCATTTGCTAGAGTAGTGTTTCTTCACCTTGGCCACTTGAAGATGTCTGGATTTCAACTCCCAGAATTCCCCAGCCAGCTTAGTTGGCTGGGGAATTCTGGGAGTTGAAGTCCAAGCACCTTCAAATAACCAAGATGGAGAAACACAGCACTAGCAAACTCTGCGTCATCGTTCCAAGTAATGAGCTCAGGGAAGTCAGGACACCAACACTTTGTTCAGGTCCACGAGATCCTTTATTGAGCACATTCTATCGGCGCTTAGAAATGTGAAGCTAGGTCTAAATTATTCCTGGACTTAGTGATAGTTAAAAGAACAAGATCTCTCCCTCGCCTGTGTCTCTCAGTTCACATGGGCCAATAAGTCCAGGTGGAGCTTCCCACCCAATTTCAACAGGTGTCTGTTGACATGACCTTGGTTCTCATACCGGCTGGAAGATGTTAATGGCTAGCTGGCTGAGGTACAAAAACCCTTTACTCTCAACTCCATGTGGACCAGTGATGAGATTAAAAAAAAAATGTACTACAGGTTCAGTGGGCATGGCTTGGTGAGGCGTAGCACGGTGGGTGTGGCAGGGGAAAGATCAGAGGTGGCATTCAGCAGGTTCTAACCAGTTCTGGAGAACCGGTAGCGGAAATTTTGAGTAGTTCAGAGAACCAGCAAATCCCACCTCTAAATGGCCCCGCCCCCATCTCTTCTCTGCCTCCCATTGAGTCCCAGCTGATCGGCTGGGTCTTCTTTGGTTGCCCTGCACAGGAGAACAGAGCTGGAAAGCAGGTTAGTGGGGTGGGGAGGGAATGGGGATTTTGCAGTATCCTTCTCCTGCTATGCCCACCAAGCCATGCCCACAGAACCGGTAGTAAAAAAAATTTGAATCCCATCACTGGGAAGGATACTATAAAATCCTCATTCCCTTCCCACTCCTGGGGGGAGGATACTGCAAAATCCCCATTCCCTCCCCACCCCACTAACCTGCTTTCCAGCTCTGTTCTCCTGTGCAGGGCAACCAAAGAAGACCCAGCCAATCAGCTGGGACTCAGGAGGCAGAGAAGAGATGGGATTGGCGGGGCCAGTCAGAGGTGGGATTTGCCACTTCTCCAAACTACTCAAAATTTCTGCTCCTGGTTCTCCAGAACTGGTCAGAACCCGCTGAATGCCACCTCTGCTCCAGCCTCCATTTTGTCTCTAGTTCTTTTCTCTTGTCTTGGAACTGAAACAGATGGATATTTTTTTCCAACAATATGACGTGTTTCACATAACTGAAGTTTCCAAATAAGTAAACAGGCATAATAATTTTATTAATATACAGATGGTGAGGGTAAACTCTCAAATAAACTTTTCTATTGGGCACCACAGAAAGATTTGAAACTGTTGGTATTGTCAACTTACAATTCACAACACCTGCATCTTCCTCGGGGTTTCCTGCAAATTGCCCCATAATAAACTCTCTCCGTCTTTTCTTTTTAATAAAATACTTGCATGCTATCGTATCAGGATATCTTGTTTAATTTTAGATAATCTCTCCAGTGCTTTCTCTTATTTGGGGCAAAGTCTCCATCCTGGTAGCCAGGGTGGCATAATGGTGAAGGTATCGAACGAGGGAGAACAAGGTTCAAATCCATCTTGATGTGGTTCCATATTGGTTCCCTTCATCCATGTGGAAACTTACTCTCTGATTCCAGATACATGTAGTCCTTGACATACAGCCACAACTGATTCCAAAATTTCTGTTGCTAAGTGAGACAGTTGTTAAGTGAGTTTTGACCCATTTTTCGACCTTCCTTTCCACAGATGTTAAGTGAATCACTGCAGTTGTTAAGTTAGTAAAATGGTTGTTAAGTGAATCTGGCTTCCTCACTGACTTTGTCAGAAGGTTGCAAAAGGGGATCACATGACCTCAGGACACTGCAACCGTCATAAACAGGAGCCAATTGCCAAGCGTCCGAATTTTGATCATGTGACCATGAGGATGCTGCAAAAGTTGTGTGGAAAACGGTCATAAGATACTTTTTTTCAGTGCCGTTGTGACTTCAAACGATCACCAAACGAGGCCTACCTGTACAGTCTCTGAGCTGAACCTAATCACAGGATTGTTGTTAAAAGTCTGTACTTTCTCTCTCTCTCTCTCTCTCTCTCTCTCTCTCTGTGTGTGTGTGTGTGTGTGTGTGTGTGTTCTGGGTATTTGGAGCAGACATTATCTTTTTTTTTTGTTTGGACATTCAACAGAGTTTTTTGACAGCATGCACTGGGTCAAATCAGAATGACTATGTGTGATAAGATCAAAGTCCTTCGCCAGAATATAGTTTTTGGCTGGGAATATTTATCCATGAATGGGATTCTTATTTTGTCTAAATGGAACATGCAGTTCCATATCAGTCAAAGTACAAGCAGATAAATTAGTGTTAGTCAAATGTTAGTATTTCTTCTTTGCACAGGAGCTGTCAGGCTTTTTGGTACCACAACCATCTAAGTTTATAAAGGAATTATACGTGGAATCCCCAGTAAACATATTGGTTCTGGAAGTGATCGAGATGTAATCGACCACTTATTTTAAATAATTACATTTTTTTAAAAATTATTTTTAAAAAATAATATATAAATAAAAAGAAAGAGCAATGTGTTCAAAATCCATACATACAGTATGTTGCCTGATTACATTTCTTGGAGTAATATTTGTCATAATCATAGTAATAGTCTTCTCTAATGAAAATTTCATGATAACAGTGCTTTTCCCTCATAACATTGATACATATTAATTAGTAAAACTAATCAAAATTAATCAAAATTAATAAGTTACAATAAACAACCCTGATCGTGAGATTAATCTTTCTCTTGTAATCTTTGAATTTCTAACTCCTGTTTCTCTTATTTAACCAATGATAGAACAGATCCCATACCTCAAAATATTCAGTGTCTTCTTTTTCTTTAATTACAAATGTTAGTTTTGAATAATTACATTTTAATTTATACCCTACTGGGTTTTTTTTTTAGTCTTTGGAGTGCTACAACCAGCCTACCATAGGGTTATCAAAGAAAACAACCAGCCAGGATACAGCCAAAAATAGGCAGAATGGAGGCTGTGATGGCATAAGTGAATTTCCACCTGGCTTTTCTGTGTACAGCAGGGGTGTGCAACCTTGGCAACTTTAGGACTTGCAGAGTTCAACTCCCAGAATTCCCCGGGCAGCCATGCCCCAGTATAACAGCATAAATCACAATGCTTAATTTTGCCTGCAGAATACCGATCAGGTTTTAAAAAATTAGGGGAGCCCGCTCCCCTTTAAATTGCATATTAACCCTGGAACTATTGACTATAATATGGGGGATCCTCGGTTTAGCATATGATTAGTTTATGGGTCAAGGTGATTATGTGAAGCCAGAACATGAAGTTCATTGAAGAAGTTTAATAGCAGCTGCATATCAGAACATCATCCATCTTAGTCCATCACTTCATTTCTCACCATAGCCAATCAGATCTATGATCAGGTGTGTTATGTTACCAAACTTCCCCCTCCCCCCATTCCATTACTCCTCAACTTCCAATGACAACTGAGGCCAAAATTATGTTATTAAAACAAAGAGATGAACTGGCAGATTTATTGAAAATTCAAGTTACGAATAAGGTTAAATATTTGGGGATACATTTGACGTCAAGGTGTACTACATTGAAAGAGAATAACTATATTAAACTTAAACAACAGATAGCATCTGATTTGAAGAAATGGGAAAATTTACAATTGTCATTGATAGGTAGAATTTCAACAATCAAGATGAATATTTTACCCAGAATTTTATATTTGTTCCAAACCATACTGATCAGGCTTGGTAAAGATTACTTTGAAGAATTAAATAAAATTGTGTTGAAGTTTATATGGCAAGGTAAGAAAGCCAGAATAAAATTAAAACTTCTACAAGATGCTAGAATTAGAGGAGAATTTGGCCTTCCGAATTGGGAGTTAAGTGAAATTAAAACCATTTTATGACCTTTCTTGCCACCATTGTAAAGTAAACAGATCACATGACCCTGGGACACTGTAACCGTCGTAAATAGGAACCAGTTGCCAAGCACCTGCATTTTGATCACATGGCCATGGGTGTGATGCAATGGTCATAAGTGGGAAAAAACTGTCATAAGTTATTTTTTTCGGTGCTGTTGTACCTGCAAACGGTCACTCAGCAAATGGTTGTAAGTCAAGGATTACTGTAGCATCTATTGGAGGTCCTGGAATAGGCTAAGACAGGGGTGTCAAACTTAAGGCCTGTGGGGCTGCTCTGGAAACAGTGAAAGACCGGCCTGCGATGCTTCTGCCAGCAAAAATGGGTTCCCGAGCTCCATTTTTGGCTACCACAGCCTCCTGCAACCTTCTGCCAGTCAAAACGGAAGTCCTGGCAGCAGAAAGCGGAGCTCGGGAGCCCATTTTCGCTGGCAAAGCACTCAGGCCACCACAGGTGAGGCACCCCCAACAGGAACGACATCAAGGTGGCCACGCCTACCCCGACCACCCCCCCCCCCCCCCCCCCCCCCCCCGAGGTCAAACACAATCCTGATGCAGCCCTCAATGAAATCGAGTTTGACACCCCTGGGCTAAGAGAAACAAAAGCAGAAAGATCAGCAGGATGTGGTGTGACAAAGCAAGAGATAAGGAAAAGAAACGGCTGCGTGGTAACTGAAGGGAATCCATCCATGTTGTCAACTTGTGTTCCAAAGTCCAGAAGAACATCCGCTTCCTTCTCAGGGAACTCCGATTCCTGTATAACAGCAACGAAGTCATTTTACAAAGTGGATTTAATTCGGATTTCTTTAAGAGGACCATGGCTGGAATTTCCAACCATTCTGGGCAGGGTGTGGTTGCTGTATCTGGAGAGCAACTAACTGAGGAAGGCTTGCCAACAAGTAGCCCTTGACTTACAATCATTCACTTGGTGACTGAAGGTACAATAACATTGAAAAAAGTGACTTATGACTGTTTTTCACACTTACGACTGTTGCCGCATGCCCATGGTCACGTGATACCACTCTATACCACTCTATAAAGTCTTAGTAAGACCACACCTAGAGTACTGCATCCAGTTTTGGTCACCACATTATAAAAAAGATGTTGAGACTCTAGAAAAAGTGCAGAGAAGAGCAACCAGGATTATTAAGGGACTGGAGACTAAAACATACAACGAACGGTTGCAGGAACTAGGCATGGCTAGTCTAGGGAAGAGAAGGACCAGCGAAGACAGGATAGCAGCCTTCCAATATTTGAGGGGCTGCCACAGAGTGGAGGGGGTCAATCTATTTTCTAAAGCACCCAAAGGCCAGACAAGGAATAATGGATGGAAACCGAACAAGGAGAGATTCAACCTGGAAATAAGGAGAAACTTTCTGACAGTGAGAACAATTGGAAGTTGTGGGAGCGCCATCACTTGAGACTTTCAAGACAAGATTGGACTGCCATTTGTCAGAAATGGTGTAGGGTCTCCAGCTTGGGCGGGGGATTAGACTAGATGACCTACAAGATCCCTTCCAACTCTGATTATCTGTTAATCTGATCAAAATTCCAGCAACTGGCATGCATTTATAACAATCTCACTATTCCAGGATCAGGGGATTCCCCCTTTTAACCTTCCCAGCCAGCTTCCGACAAGCAAAGTCAATGGGGGAAGTCAGATTCACTGAATGACTGCGCGATTCACCTAATAACTGCCATGATTTGCTTAACAACCATGGCAAAAAAAGTTATAAAATGGGGCAAAACTCACTGAACTGTCTTTCTTAGCAACAGAAACCTTTGGGCACGATGGTGGTCATAAGTCGAGGACTACCTGTATCGTATCTGGATTGGGTCTGAGTAAACATCTTTTCCCTCTTTTTGGAGGGAAATGAGAGAAAAAAAGAGTTTTACACAGTAAATTTGCAGTGGAGAATTTATTTACAATTTATGACTGTAGTAAAACACCCAGTCACATGACCACCAAGCCAAGCCCACCACCTAAGCCACGCCCGCACAACCGGTTGTTAAAAAATTTGAGTCCCACCCCTGGTCCATCCTTCTCCTACCTACCTTTTTCAGACTCTAAATTTTGCAGCCGTAAGGAACAATTGGAAAAATTATTGCATTAATTAACAAAAGAACCATTGGATGAACCCGCCAGGAGAGCAGGAGAAGCAGACAGACGTAGCAAATGTTCTGCAAAAACTGAGTTAAGCCAAGAGGTTTAAGTGAGGAAAGAGCAAGACTCTAAGGGGCATCTTGTGACCTGGAAGACACTTGGCCGTCTGCGGCCTCGCTGCATTCCAGTTCTCCCCCTGGTCCTCCTTGCACTCTATCCCCAACGCCTTTGCTCTTAATAGTCTCACACTTGTTCTCCCTCTCCCGCTCTCACACCCTTCTCTTCCTTTTCCCTCCCCGGTGGGCTGCAGGCCTAGTTTGCTGTCTGGCTTTACCCACCCAGGCCCAGCTATCTTTTGTGAGTGCATCAATCATCTTGACTTCCAAGCTGAGCTGAGAAAAGGTGAGGCTTGCCCAACCTAGCTTGCAAGAGATTGCTTTGAGCGGCAGACCAGGAGTTGTAGGTAGCTGGGAAAATGAGAACTTCTTAAATCGCAATTATGGCTGAGAAAACAGCCTCTGCCCAAACTCTCCCGGCTCCATGTGGAAATAAGGAGTGAAAGCAATTTAAAAGAAGGGATGGGCCAGCAGTGAAAAACAGCAGTACATTTTTCAC